TTTGGTTATTTCTACAGACATTTAATTTCAAGTGCATAGCTTGTTCAATATTTTGTGTACTTTCCCCCCAACAATTTTCTCCATTCAACCTAAACAAACTACATTTTCTTTTGCAAGACAGCACAACATACCCCTGAGAGGAAATTATAGCTTGTTTGTCAAATTCGTATTTTTTGACTGTAGGTTGCTAGACTTTGCTGCTTGGGTTGGTGTACCTAGTTCAGTAATTCCATTTATTTTGCTGTTTTAGACCAAATATCAGTATTATACTGTACTTTGAAATCCCAAATTAATACTCCAGGAAAGGATCCTTATAGATTTGAAACATGTAATTGAGCTTGGCAAGACAGAAGGATGATTGATTGATCTCATCATGAAATGATGTCACAGTCGACATGGTTCTCAGTGTAGTGGTAGAATAGGATTGACTGTTAGGCTACTCGAGGGTGGGTGGATAAGATGGCATCAGGCATCTATAGCTACATAGTGGGCACGGTGGAAGACAAGGCTAGAAGCTGTGTGATAGTGGGGAATGGTCGGAACAGGCATTCTTATTTCTCATTTGGTGTGCTATCCTGTCACAATTTCTCATGTTCTAGTACTACTGGAGGCAATGAAATGTATCCATAACTGGTGGCAGTCAATAAGAGATTTCCACGGAATTTAAGTAGTATGTATCTTCAAATACTTTAAAAATATTCTGCAGTGTTCAGCCACTTCAAACACATCCCTGCTCTAGTAGACTGCTGAGTCCTTGAGAATCTTGGTCCAAGTGGCAGAGAACTCAATCTGTCCTTAGAGCTTGGCAGTCTCTCAGGGACTGCCTCACCACCAGCTCTCAAGGCAAAGTTCTTCCCATGAGCTAATTGGCATTCTTCTCCTTGGCACCTTCCAGCTGCATTCTTCAGCTTTGCTTAGTCACTTCTCCTGACATGACAGTCACCCTTTTTAGAATCTTATGGAGGCTTCCACAGATGTACTGTTATCAGTAGGTGGAGCCACCCCACAACTAAAACAGCTGTTGGCATCTCACTTACTTAGCAGGAGAGGGGCACCAGAGGCAATAGTGTGATACCACTTCTGGGGAAAACCTGGAATTATTGTCATGCCTCTCTTGGGATTGCTGAAAACTCTGTGGCACAACCATGGTTTCTGATGATTCCTAGAGAGGACTAATGTCACACTATGGCTCAATTTGTTGTTGTTCAGTCGCACAGTCGAGTCCGACTCTAGCCAAAAAGTGTCGTCCCCCCCCCCACATTGTCTTTATTAGCTGCCATACTTAGGATCTACTTCTGCGCCATTTTAAAAAGTATTCTTACTGGAGGCAAATAATAGAATCATAGAATGTTAGAGTTGGAAGGGACCTTGCAGGTCATCTAGTCCAACCCTCTGCACTCTGCAGGAGCATAGCCGAAACCTGTGTTACCTGTTATGCATACCTGTGTTATAATGTTATGAAGCTCCATAGCTAAGCAGATCCAGCTGATATAAGCCTTACCATGCCCTTGCCTCTGAATGGATGACCTTGCCTCAGGCCAGTGCTTCCAGGGTTTCCTGTCTCCCAGCTCTGTGCTGTGATGCTTCCAATAGCAACACAGGAAACACTGGCTCAGTTGCCTATGGAAATTCCCCAAAAATACATTCGCATCTATTTGGACCCCCTCTAAAATTATTGAAAGGCGGTGTTTTTTCAATACATGTGGAAATGTTCTTGAAAATAATGTCCCCAACTTGCTATGAACTGAAGTGTTTGAATATTTGGGTTGGTCTTGTTCAGTGATCCATTTCTGCTGGTGAAAGAGTGCTTCTACTGGGTAAGAGTAATTTTACTGATTCCCCCTTCCACTGCAGACCCCCATATCATACTCAGTATTGTCTATGGGTGGCCCCAGAACCCGTGGGGAGCATTTTGGGGGCATGGGGGCTATAGTAAGAGGGCAGAGGTGTGAAAGTTTCATTCCAACACAATATTTGGCATCTTTTATCATCTGTGAGGTTCTGTTTTCAGTAAATATCCATTTTTCAATAGATATGGTCAGATATGAACAAAAATATGTCATTGTCTTTGCATAGTATGTGTGTGTGTTTTCATAGTAAATTATTTTATTCTGTTACTATTTATGGGAAAGGATTTCTGTACATTAACATCATTCACTTTAGAAGAGAGAAGACAAGAGATTGGATTTATACCCCGCCCTTAACTTGGAGTCTCAGAACGGCTTACAAACTCCTTTCCCTTCCCCTCCCCACAACAGACACCCTGTGAGGTGGGTGGGGCTGAGAGAACTCTGACACAAACTGCTCTTTCAGGAACAGCTGTGCCAGAACTTGTGACTGACCCAAGGTCACATCAGCAGGTGCAAGTGGAGGAGTGGGGAATCAAACCCGGTTCTCCCAGATTAGAGTCCGCAGACTTAACCACTACACCAAACTGGCTCTCTTTATCATCTTGATACGGTAAACATTTAAAATATGGCTGATTTTGGGTCTCATGAAAGGTCCAAACTCAGCCTAGAAAAAGTTTCATTCTCAGAAGTCAGTGATAGAATGTATGAAGAATAATTATCGTTATGCACAATTCATTCTACAGCACTTTCAAAAAAGAGTGCCCTCATCAGTAAATAGCTAGGCTCCCTAAATCAGATATTAGAGAGGGGCTTCCAATTCAGATCAGTTGGATGTTTAGACATATCTGATTTCTGGCACCTATCATTTGGAAATCCAGTTGAAGACAACTGTGGCTTTGAAACTAAGGACTTGGTTATGGGTCTTTCTGGAGGATTTATGATCTTCAGCCAGTTTAATTTCTTGGTAATAATAATAATGATTGTATGGCAGTGTGTGTAGTATAGACAGGAGATCTACGATTGTCTGGCAGCCAGAAGTTCTAGCTCTTTAGCATTATGAACCACTACATGGTGAGCTAGACTTGTTTTTAAGGAAAGAGACGTTTCAGAGGTGGTTTGCAATTGCCTACCTCCACACCATGACCCTGGTATTCCTTGGAAGTTTCCCATCAAAATACTAGCCAATGCTGACCCTTCTTAGCTTCTGAGATCTTACGAGACTGGGCTAGCCTGGGCTATCCAGGTCAGGGCTAATTTCTAATTTACACAGGCTTGAGTTTTGAATAAATGTGCAGATGTCCATTTTTTAGGGTTGCCAGGTCTGGGTTGGAAAATACCTGGAGACTTTGAAGGTGGATCCGGGAGAGGGTGGGGTTTGGGGAGGGGAGGGGCCTCAGCATGGTACAGTGCCATAGAGTCCACCATTCAAAGCAGCCATTTTCTCCTGGGGAGCTGATCTCCATCAGCTGGAGATCAGTTGTAAAAGCAGGAGATCTCCAGGCCCCACCTGAAGGCTGGCAACCCTTCCATTTTTTGCATCTTCAACAGGTTGCAACCAGACGGTATATTGTACCAAATGGAGTTTATTTGATTCTGAAATGTAGCCATCACTTGGTCGAGGAATCAAATATGAGTATTCTTGGGCCACAGGACATTTTCCTAAGCCAAGCAGATCAACCAACAGTTGCTTTAATTCACATTACCTTGTTGCAGGGTGATCCTGGCAGATACAGGATCTGTCTTTTGTAAGCCAGTGTATGCTTCCCTGGAATGTGGTTGATTATGGTGACTGAAAAGCTGAACTCTTTTCAGATCAGGCTAATGGTCTTCTATCAGGTACATACAACAATGGGCTGGCACAGTTAAAAGGTTTCCTTACCGGTGCCATGAGTTAAAGTGATTGGGTTAGTAGGCCTTCAATGGGCTCGCCTGTTTTTTAGTTTACCTGCATATATATCATATGTAGGAGAGAGAACAATGCGTTGATTGGCAATAGTGTTTCTGTAGCCCTTGCCATCCTGACACTTTGTCAGTATCTTCCTTTCTCAATAACTGGTATTTCTGCAGCTAACCCTATGTTTCTATGGTTGCCAGAATCCTAAAGTTCACTGAATCATGGGTATTGTTATCACCTGGTAGTGGTTATAAATTTGCAAATGTTCTTTCTTCAACAGCTTACATTGTGGTGCTATTTTTGGCACTTTAACCCCCCCACACACACCTTATATGCCTTATTCCTAAAATCTTGTTAAATATATGCTTAATGTTTCTAAAACTACTTACCCTTCTTTAGCTCCCACTCTCATATTTATATGCGTACTGATCCATACTGCTGTAACCTCTAGACTGGCCTATTGTAACACACTGTATGTGGGGCTGCCCTTGAAGAAGCTTTAATTAGTGCAAAAGACAGCTACTAAACTGTTGTCAGGAGTTAGTCATTTTCAGTCTATAGCAGCTTGCCACATCATGCTCCCTCTGTAGTTTAAACGGGAGATGATTTTGTACCTTTGTGTGGTTAAAACTCTGTCTTGGTGAATGCTTTTGCATAATAATATTCATACAAAAGTTGAAGCAACCATCAGGCTGACAAAAGCATGGCTGCTATGCTTGTCCTAGGGAACAGGAAGTGAAATTGAGACAGGTGGTCTCTTCTGTTGGATCAACATGTATTTGCACAAGAATATGGAAGCTTTTTCGGTTGCACAGAATTTGCAAGCTCAAGGGAGGAGGTTTCCAGCTGTTAAGAGTTCGCTGCAATTCAAAAGCTTGCATACTCCTACACAAACAGATGCCATCTCAATGAACATGACTGATAAAAATTAATATATTATATCACATTAACTCTTGCATTGAAGGGATGATCATGACTCTATGTCATTCCATAGCCTAAGCCCAGCCTTTGTTAATTAGATTCCTGAAGAAATCCCTTCAGTCTAATTTTTTACCACTGTCCTTCCTAGTCAAGCTGAGACACTGATGTTGTGCTTTCTTGCTCTAATAAAGAATTCACCTTGCTTACTCTCTGCCTCCTGACTGCTCTCAGGAGAGTGGTGAAGTGTGCTTAAGCATATTGTAAAGGCTTATTCAAAATGTCTGCTGGATGGGCAGTAATTTGAAATGTTCAATCTTTTTGCCCTGTCACTTCAGGCTGGCATGATTCGCACAGACAAGGACGAGTTCTTCATTGAACCTCTGCAAAAGGGGAAGCAGGAGGAGGAGGAGGAAGAAGGTAGGACGCATGTGGTATATCACCGGGCAGCTGCTGCCAAGAAACCACTTCCCAGTGAGCACCCAGATCTCCTGCACAGAGGTAAGGCTGAGACGTTAATGACAAGTTATATTTAAAACACAGCTAAAAGCATGAACCCAGTAGTCAGTGTAAGCTCTCAACTACCACTCCTTGGCGTCCTTGACAGGAAAAATCCCTTCTCTTTCATTACCATGTCTCAGCTGTTACTGTTTGGAAGAAGTGAAGGGACTGAAGAAATTGAATTTCAAATACGGGAGCAACCAGCATCTTCCTGAACGGTTCTGGTTCTGTTAAAATAAGCAGTGTAGGTCAACTGTGAAAATGTTTAATTATTTATTTGAAACATTTCTATCCCACCTTATCTCATTGAACTCAAGGTGGCTGACAAGGCTGCAACCAGATTGTGAGGACATGAATTGTCACAGTCCAAATGAACAGGGGTAAAATACATTAAATTCAGTTAAAAAGCACTCAAGATTAAAACACACACAGAATGAACAAATATGCAGAAAGAGAGTGGCCAAATGTTCTGGAGCAATGTACCCTTTGCCAAATGTTTTCTGGTGGCCCCATCTCCAGGAATGGCCTGCCAGAGGAGGTCAGGACACTTCTGGCATTCCGCAAACTGTGTAAAACAGAATTGTTTGAGAGGGCATTTTTATAAGGTCAGTAGGACCTTATAAATCAACCCTGACTGTTCCCTGGAAGGCCAGATAATGAAACTGAAGCTCAAATACTTTGGCCACCAAATGAGAAGGGGGCACTCACTGGAGAAGACCCTGATGCTGGGAAAAATTGAAGGTCAAAGAAGACGGGGACGGCAGAGGATGAGATGGTTAGACAGTGTCATCAATGCAACGAACATGAAATTGAGCCAACTTCAGAGCACGGCGGAAGACAGGAAGGCCTGTCGTGATCTGATCCATGGGGTCGCAAAGAGTCGGACTCGACTGTGCGACTGAACAACAACAACAAAAAGGACTATGTTATGATGCACTGGTTCAAGAAGGAGATTTAATAAAAGACACATGATTGCGTGCTACACTATTATCTTTTTGCAGTATGTATTACCATGCTCTCACTACGTTGTAATCTACCTTTATAATCCTACCTTTTGGCAATGTTAACATACTGTGCCTAATACTTTTGTTGTGTTTTCAGTTTTCCGTAGATCTGCTCCTGTTACTTTCCTTATCAGATGTCTTATTTTATTGATTACACTGACTGACTGTGTAACCCGGCTTGAGTTTTAATGAGAAAAGTAGACTATAAATGATGTAAAAAAATTAAAATGATAAATAATAACTGCTGTGCATGCTTTCCTAAAAACAGCAAATGAAGGTACCATTCCAAAGTATGGGGTCCACCACAGAAAAGGTCTGTGATCTTGCTGTATCCATACACACAGTCCTAAGCCGTAAGGAGAATGCTGAAGAATCTAAGGTTGAACAATGCAGGGCTTTACAAATGGGGAGTGGGGATACAGAGGTCAACTTAATGTTAACTATTGCTATTGGAGACCATTTGTCATCAGTGTGGGACCAATCTTGTGCGGTTCCATAGGGTACAGATCTATCCCTCATGCTTTTCAATCTCTGTGTAAAGACCTCAAGTCAAATTATTTGTCATTTTGTGGTTGGTTGTCATCAATATGGTGATGATATCCAGCTCTATATATCCTTATATGAATCTCCTAGTGATGAGGTAGAGGTCCTAAATAGCTGCTGTAATTAACTTTTGATGGAGTTCAGCTGTCCCTTGTTGACTCAGTTAAAAGCCTTGGAGTTATACTGGATCCAACCTTATTACTGGAGAAGCAAGTTAATGCAGCTGCAAAAAAATGTTTTCTGCCAAATCAGCTTAGCCCATAAAATGGCCCTTACCTTGATACAGCTGATCAGGCTGTCTGGATACACGCCACAGTAACATCGAGACTGGACTACTGTATACTGGTTTCCCCTCAAAAACAACTCAGAAACTCCAGCTGGTGCAGAATGCTGCTGCTCAGCTAATATCAGGAGCTAAATGGAGCATGCATATTACTTCCATTCTGCAGATACTCTGTTGGCTGCCCATTTGTTACCAGGCTCAATTTAAGGCATTGGTTATCATGTACAAAGTCCTTCATGGCTTTGGTTCCTCTTATCTTTGGGAGTGCCTCTCCCCTTATGCTCCACTACAACGGTTTTGCTTGTCTGAGCAGGGCTTTCTGCAGGTGCCAACCTGCAAAGGAGCAAAATTAACAACTTCCCATGCATGTGCTTTCTCTGCCACCTCAAGTCTCATTCAGTGGAGAGGAAGTGGGATATATATTTGACAGACAAGATAGATAAGTTTTTCATTATGGTTCCTGACTTATGAAATGGCATTCCTGAGGAGGTCAGGAAGGCTTCCACTCTCCTGGCTTTCTACAAACAATGTAAAACTGTATTATTCAAGAGGGCCTTTTCTGCACAGGTAATAGGGCCCTCTCATACAATGTAAGGGCTTTGTGCTAACATTTATCAATGTAGGCAACTCTCCTGAAGTTGTGAATCTTACCGACCTAGGCTGTGAGGATGAAGATAATCAAGAGTGATGTGCTTGTATATGAGATTATTGTTATTGTTGCTCCTGAAGATTCGTTGTCCATAATAGTGGGGTTCTAATTTGGGTTTCTTGACTATAATATTGCAAAGGGAAAGTGACTGTTCCTTGTAATTTCATCAACCACAATCTATAAGAGGTAGGGGCTGAGGATAAGTCTTGTGAGGAATGTGAAAGCCATATTACTACATGGAAATGACTATCATGATGCATGCAGTAGTTATGGAATTTTTCAACAGTGATATGGCCATTGTTGCATTTGATGTGGATGTTGGCTGAATGATGACCTCTGAAGGTGTATGCAGTTTTTTTAAAAAAACAAAAACAAACCTAGAACCCAGTTTGTAAGTGTAGCTGGGGCAGCAGTGAAATCTGGTGGAAAGGAAAGCCTTCTCCATTGTAAGATTCCCACCACTGCCTCGGCTTTGAAGGGCATCAATAACACTGGGCATTGTTGTAGTGATGATGAGCAGATGTCATCAGGAATCAGGATGTTAATTAATTTGTACTCATGCAAATAGTGATCTACCAACTTTCTTAATGGGTCCATATGATTGGGTTGCCCATGAAAGTGACACATATCTAAGTCCTTCCCATTCTTTTGACACTGATTGCTGTGGTGACAATGTGTTTATACAGATCAGTTTGGTGTCAGAAAATATTTAACTGTACAAAAGTTCCTTTGCAACAAAAGAGCGTGATAGAAATTCACACCTCATGTCATTGCTTCTTAAAATATCAGATATTAAGTATTCCTTGGCAAATAGAACTGGCATAAATACAATTGTGAAGACAAGCTTGACCCCCAGGAGTTTGCCCTATACTAAGAATAAATTGGGTAGGAAAAGGACTGAAGAATCATATTGAAAATAATAGATGGTTTAGTTTCTGGAAAAGCTAAGTTTCCTTCTGATAAAGAAGTACAAGGTCAGTAGAAGGTCAATCTATGGAACCAGTGGAACATTTCCAACATCTAGGAATTATTTTTCAAGCCAGCCTATCTTGAAAGGTGCACTTGAACTCTGCTGTAAGAGTTGCTGTGAGTATCGGGAAGGCCATCTCAAGATTTTATTGCTCCTCTGGTGGCCAATATGTTCCTGTGGCAGTTAAAGTATTTAATGCTAGAGTCACCAGGCAGATGCTATATGCTGCCGGGGTTTGGATCAGAGCAGTAACAGACAACATCGATAGACCACTATTAATATTTTGGGAATTTCTTGGTATATGTCTGGAATAGCTCTGAGAGCCAAAGTTGGGGAAGTTGGGGAGATGTCCTTTGAAGTAAAGGTCTGGGGAAGAGCATTCAATCTAAAAATTAAGTTCCTAAAATCAAACCCAGAATTAAGCCTCCTTGGACTAGTCAAGTTGGACCATCACACAAGTGATTGGGACAGATTACTGGATCATAAATTATCATGTTTGTGCATTACCCATGATGTGATAGAAACAATGAGTAGATAAGAATTGACCCAGCTCATTAGAAGATGTCTGAGGGACTCTGATTATGAGAGCAGGTGTGTTCATCTTTCTCAGTAGACATTCTCACACCAACAAAAATGCCAAACTGTCTATCTGAGCTAACTCTTCCAAAGCATAGAAGGGCATCATGCTTGTATGCCTGAATGCCCTACCTTTAGCAGTGATGTCAGGAAGAATTAATGGAATTCCATATTCAGATAGACTCTGTAGTTGTAGTAACAACAAAATCGATTTTGTGGATTTTTTTTTACTGCCCCAAATTTTCAGATCTAAGAGCTGAACTGATCTCTCCATTATTTAATCAGAACTTTGTCTCTTCAGAAGTGAAATCATCCTGTTTACTCAGAGATAAAGATAAACAGACTACTCTGTGTGTGGCAAAATTTCTGGCAGCTGTTGTTACATGATAAGTTTCATAGTAACTTTTAGGCTCTCCTTTTGTGGGATGAGGGTTTGCTGTTTTGAAAACAGTAAGAAGTATGTTTGCTTCCAAGTGGTGGCATTGGAAAAAACACCTAAGACTAAAAATGGTTCAAAGAGTCTTTGGTTGTGTGGAGGAAGAAAAGCAGGGAGAGGAATTCTTCTTAAGAAGTCTGGAAAAATGGGTCCTTGACCAATGTGGTCCTTGTCTCAGCTGTAGATCCTGTTTTGTCACACAATGGTTTTATTAACTTCCCTGCCTTTCACTGTTAACTGGTTCTTGATAGAAATTCTTGAAGAAAAAAAGAGACAAGGAACAGAATGCCCTTGCACAACCAGTCAGAGAAAAGAATGATGGAATGCAGCCAGAGAATCCACTAACCCCTGTTTTGACAACTCCCTGGAGAAGTCTGGCAGTAATTAGGAAATTCTTCTAGAACATTCACAGGGCATTCAACAACTGCTAATGAGGCAGGAGGATGTGAGGTGGTGGAGAAGAGAGGTAGGTAGGTTCTTGGTGTCATACTGTAAGATGGGAAACAGACAAAAAGCTTATGATGATTCCAAAATAGGTG